TGCACTGCACCTTCCATTATGCATGTTTGATAATTGAGATAATTGAATAGCACAGCTCCTGCCCCGCACTATATCTTACGTGGCGTATGGTGCGGCCCTTGTCTCACGCCGTACACACGTGTATCTATGTCAGCATAAGGCGCGCTGCAGGGACGCCTTAACTCACGTGGCGTCAAATCAACGTATAGTACGCTGTAGGAACGCGACTTATTATAAAAAGTGTTAGATAAAAAAATATAATATAACTTGTGCCTCATCGAAATTATTAAATTAAAAAGATAATTTTTTTTTTGGAAAAAACGCCGCCGCACCACGTAACTACTGCACAGTAAACACACTGTTGTTTTCATTTTGCTTTTCTCTTTCATAGTTTTTCTTTCTCTTCTCCACTAAAAAAGGGAAAGAAAATAATAAAGTAAAGTAATTGTAATCGAGTACCCCATTCCTTCTTCCTCAAGCAGTCTCCCAAATCTAAGTCCGATCCTTTCTTCGTCTTGGTTTATGAGGTACTATTTCTGCTTCTTTGTTTCCTTTTAATCAGAGATCTTCAGTTTCCCTTTTTGTTTTATTAATATTTGTTCCATAAAGTTTGTGGATTTTTGTAAAATTTATCTGGGTTTCTAGGGTTGTATGCTTTTTTTTTAATTTTTTTTTGTTGGAGAAATATTAAATTTTTATTTTTGATAACTTACTGATTGATTTTATTGTTTGTTAATATCAACAGCTCGAAGGAGAAACCCACTCTTGGGTAAGTTATTTTTTATTTGCAATACTTACTTTTTGTCATTTTTTATACCATTGAGGTTACTACTATAAATGCTTGATAATATGGGTTCTCAGTGTTAGTAACATGACATTTGCAATGGACTTTTGAAGTGATATGACGAATTTGATGTCTTTTGGCTGCAATTTTTGTTTTGGTCTATGAACATTTGATGCTGTAGCCTGTAGTATTCTAGAAATCAGCTATTCTTTGTTTTTACTCGACATTCAAATGACGCTCTACTTTTCTAGAAGTGAGATATTTTTTTATCTTCTAACAATTTCTTAGATATTTGTACTTGGCGGTAAGGATATGAAGTTTGGTCTAGCGGACTAGGCATCCTCATTTTATGTTTCATACCAAAACAACCCAAAAAAAAAGTACTTTTCTGTGTTTCTCTTTGAGAAAATTTGATTTTGTTCTATAATTCGGGGTTATGTTTAAACTTATTTCCATAAACTTTGGGGGTGCTGATAGAACCTTGATAAACTTGGAACCCGTTTTTTCATTCATGGTTTAGATTGGGGCTGATGCTGAAATGTTTTTTTTTATTTACTTCTCAAAAGTTTGTGTATAAGTTCGATTTATCTGTTGTGCAGCGGTACGCGGATTAAGACCCGCAAACGGAATATTGCTGCACCCCTGGACCCTGCAGCCTTTGCTGATGCGGTAGTCCAGATCTATTTGGATAATGCTGGTGATTTGGTAAATATCTCAATAGACATAATTTTATTCTAGGTTTTAAACTTGGCATAATTCTAGATTTCTTGTTGAATATCTTGTGCTCAGTGATCGAACTCTGTGGCATACAGGAACATGTTGCCAAGAACATTGAATCATCTGATCTCAACTTCTCAAGATACGGCGATACTTTCTTTGAGGTAACCTTCTTCCTTTCAGACAGAAGTATCAACTGCTTTTGATATTTTCCTCTTAAAGAATTAAAACTTTTTGATTTCTCTATGCTATTTTGTTGGATCTTTGGATCATGGTTAAGAATGAAATCTACTGGCAAAAAATATGTGGTTGCTAGGTGTTTATGAGGTTGATGTTTGGAGACTTAATCTATCAAACTTGCATGCCTAGAGGTTTGGAAGCTACATCAAGTTTCTTAGAAAAACTTGGCACTAGTAAGGACGACATAAGATTCCTTCACAAAACACCCCCCCCTAAAAAAAAACTTGATTATGATGATCCTCCAAATTGTTAGTTTAGGCAGCTGTTAGGATGTCAAAGTTTTTGTTTTCTAGTTTTTTACTTTCATGCTAATTTTCTGTAGTTAGGTTGTTAAGTAGTTTTCTTATAAGATAAACTTTTTTCTGTTCGTGTGTCTAAATTAACCTTCCATCATCTTACAATTGACATTGGCTAATTCTGCATAAGGCCTTGAAATCTTGCAATGAAAAATATATTTCAGATGTTTGAACAAAGTTTGAAGTTCTTCGAAACTTGTGGTTCTAATGTTTGCTTCCTCTCTTTTCCTTTGGTGAAATTTAGTTCTAATGATTTTAGTAATCTAAATTGGCAATTGCAGGTTGTTTTCACTGGAGGTCGCACACAACCGGGCACAATCAAACCAGATGAGGGGGAGCGCCACCCTTACTCTGTAATAGAGTGTGAGGCTAAACGTGAAGTTATTTTGCCATCTGTGATCTACGTACAGAAAATCTTGCTCTGAAGGCCTTTTCTGATTAAGAATCTTGAAAATGTTATGCAAAGACTTGCAGTCTTTGGAGCTTTTTGAGGATAATGAAAGGAAGAAACTCGCAATTTTCACAGCACTTTCTTTTTCCCAGAAACTATCAGGGCTGCCACCTGAGACTGTGTTCCAGCCACAGCTAAAGGACAATCTTGTGGTAAAAGGGATAGTTCTTTCATTCATAACAGACTTCTTCAAGTAGTATCTGGTGGATAATAGCCTTGAGGATTTAATTTCAATTCTGAAGCGAGGGAAAATGGAGGACAATCTCCTGGACTTCTTCCCTTCTGCAAAGCGATCTGCTGAAGGTTTCTCTGAACATTTTACGTAAGTCTTCTGCTTTAAATAAAGAGGAATTGTGTCATTTATAATTTCCATACCTATTCTGATTTTCAGAGATTCTATAATGTTCCAATGCTGTTTTATTGTATCCTTGGATTTGCAAGTGCATTCTTTGCATCATGCTGTGTGATTTTCATGTTTCTTGAATGATTTGAAAACTTGTGCCTAATTATGTTGATTTTCAGCATGGCTGGGCTGGTGCCCTTGGTTGAATACAATGAAAAAAAGTATTTGAGGTAAAACTGAAGGAAATGAAGTCTGCCTTGACAACCCAGATCGCTGAGGAATCTGATATATCTGAAGTCATCAAAACTGTTAAAGATGCCAAATTACCTGATATTGAAGTTGTACGAATTCTTTGGGATGTAATATTGGATGCTGTTCAGTGGTCTGGAAAGAACCAACAACAGAATGCCAATTCAGCTTTAAGACAGGTAGTGGCATTTTGTCTTTTTGCAGTTCTCCCCCATCCCACCTTTCCCTTGTTTGAAGGAAAACTCGATGCATGATAGGAGATGCAGGCATTAAGCAACACAATGACCCGATGGTCCAAACCCAAATAAGTAGATGTATGCCTGGTCTTTGTCTCCTCTGAAATAAATACAATGTTTAAATTTATTAATAACGGGTTCATAATTGCTTTTACATGCTTTCAGGAAGTTAGCTTATTCTACATCTCTTGCAAATATATAAGAAAAATTATCAAGAAAAAGAACCATAAAGCAACCTAGTTCCAAAAGGACATTAAAATTTGTCAAATATATTGCACTAATAGATATTTTGTAATAATATAGGATCTACTAATGGTTCATGAAGTGCTAGTTGCATGCATGGTTGTATGAATTCTGGTACATGCTAGGTTGGTTGTTGGTTGAACTTATATTTCATTTGTAGACCTGTAGTCCTTAAGTTTAGACAATACTGTTCGTTTGATATTTATGGTTTTGGCTCTCTTATTTGAGACTGCTTTTGTGGCTCATTGCCTTTGCCTTCTGTTGTACACGATTCAATGAATACCTGGTTTAAATTGATGAGTAAAGTGTAAAAGTAGTTATTTTACAGTTGTGTTAAGAATCTGAAGTCTTTTCGCAAAACATTCTGAAGTGAAGTGTTGACTGAAATTGACAATTTTTTATGGACAGCTTTTCGTCCTTCTGTTATGTACTACTTGAATGCATAGCTATAACCTGAGCTTATTCAGCAGTTATCATTTCCATCGTATTTCAAATTTTGACATTTGGTAACCTGGTCCATTAAATTCTCATAACACCAATTTTTTTCTGAACTTTTCAGGCTTTGCTTATGTTCTACATGAATGCGTACTATCTGACCTAGTTATCCACTCCCATGTATCCCAATTTTCTACCCTGTCATCATTAAATTCCAATACCAGCTGTAGTGGTGCATAATTTAAGTCGATGTAGTTCTGCTCAGCTAGATTGAGGCAACTATGTGCTATTATGATTTATCCGTTGTCAAAGTGCAAAACCAAATCGTTAATTGTGATGTGTTGTCTTGATAAAGGTCAAAACATGGGCAAAACTACTAAACTCCTTCTGCACCAATGGAAAACTTGAGCTGGAGCTAATGTATAAAGTTCAGATGCAATGCTATGAGGATGCGAAATTGATGAAGCTGTTCCCGGAGATTGTGAGGTCTCTCTATGACCAGGATGTCCTTGCAGAAGACACCATACTTTACTGGTTCCGCAAAGGAACAAACCCGAAGGGAAGGTATGTGTTTTCTCTTCCTATTTGCTTTCACAACATTGACAAGCATCATCTGTGAATCAACCTAGTAATCAAGCGACTGGTTGGAAAACGAACCGCATATATATTAATGATTCAGAGATTTTCATATGTTCATCATTTCATGAAAATGAAGACTAGGCCAATTTCTGTCATCCAAACCCACATGTTGAGGTTGTAAAAGGCAACCCCCCTTGTGTGAGAGAGTTGGAGGATACCTTATAAGCCAACCATTTTTATTACCATGATCTTTTAAGAAGATAGGGGAGATATTATTGCAGGCAAACGTTTGTGAAGGCGCTGGAGCCCTTTGTGAAATGGCTGGAGGAAGCTGAAGAAGAGGAATAAGTTCGCCAACAAGAACAGTGTGATAAACAATCAAAATATATATTATAATCAACCCTGTATCTTTTCCTTGTTTCTATGAAGTTATATATTTACCAGGTTCTTTGAGATTTGGTGGTGTGCCTGTTAAAATATTTGCTGCGCTCATAAAAATGGTGCTAAAGCTTGATGGATTAGTAACTTAAATAAATAAAAAAAGGTGCACTTTGTACCATATGTGGTTTTTGGTTTGAATTCAATGTATGTATTTGTATGCTCTGTGAATTGCATTTGCGTGCTTTAGGGATCCTTCAATTTTTTTTGGTTACCCTCTTGATTTCTCATGGTTTTGTCCCTACTAATTTGGATCGATCTATGTCGCACACTTGGCTTTTGATGATTATATGAATTCTCTTTATCTTCTTTAAATAATTGACCTGGATATTGTATCGGGTAAATTACATAGTGTCATTTAGGTACAAGTAAGCTTCATCGAGACATGGAGATTGCTCTTGAGGAAAGACATTATTGTTTCTGGAATTTTGTGTCAAACGAAGAAGAATGAGAAAGGTTGTTCATTTTTTTGATTTTAAAAGGTTGTTCATTTTTCGATTTTAATTGAATTAACCAATTGAATCGAATTAGTTTGATTAAACGGTCGGTCGTCAAAATTAGTTTAATAGGTGCAATTAATTTCTTTAAATATTTGATTAATGATTAATTCGGTTCAAAATCGGTTAATTAACTAAATTAATCGAAAATATTAAATATATTGTACATATTAAATACATAATTTAAGTTTAAACTCATAAAGAATTAATATCTAACTATTTTTTAATCACGCTAAACCCGTCAAATTTTCAAAACCTAATTAAATTGTAAACCAAATAAAAAATACCTTTATTAAACTCAAATTAATCTAACTAATAAATTTATTAAAAAATAGTTAATTTGGTCACCGTCCGAATTAATCGAACTTTGTTTGGTTTGATTAATGATTTTTAAAAAGAAAAGAAATATTTGGTTCGATTAACAATTAAAAAAAGTTTGACTAATTTAGCTTTGAGAAATTTGATTCGATCAGTTATTGAATCAATGTTTGAACACCCCTATGAGATATAGGAATTTATAGGAAAAATTGTTAGAAACCGCGTTGAAATATGATTGAGAGTTAAAAAATATATATTTCAAAACTACTTGTTTGATTTTTTTTAAAAAAATATTTTTTATATGTTTATCAATAATAAATTTTAAATAATATTTAAAATAATTCTAATTCAAAATTCAAAGTTTTGATCATAAAAAATTAATAAAGAACAATATTAACGCGATCCTCTTAAAATTTTTAAATTTCTATGTATTTTAGATATTGTCTTTTTATTTTAATTGAAATTTTATTTTTATCCCTTAAAATTTTATAAATACGCTACTCTTAAAATTTTATAAATTCATCATTTAATATAAAATCTGGTGTTTGCCCATAATTAGGAAATATATATCTAGAATATCTTAATTATTTAATATTTTGGATTAAAAAGAATCTAACGTAACTTGTGAGTTGAATTTAAAAAATTAAAACAAAATTTTAAAGATTTTTTGTGACTGTGAAATGAAGTTGATGTTAAGCTCCAACAAATTATAGACATAAGTGAAAGCGATTTGTATGCAAATTTTGAACTCAAATCATTTCCAACTTTTAAAATGAAAAAGGCCAAATCACATGTAAAATGGCCAACAAGTTGTTTTCAAAGAAATTACTTTTCATATTATCACTTTTAAAATGAAAAAGGCCAAATCACATGTAAAATGGCCAACAAGTTGCTTTCAAAGAAATTACTTTTCATATTATCGTAGTAGTTATATTAGTATGGTTGGACTGAGGGGTGAGTAGGACAGTCGTTCTTTTGAAAATTTAAAATTATCATATATTTTATATTATTTCTTATATATTGAAAATCTATTTTCATCTTTAAAATTTTATAAATTCACCCCTAACATAAAATCTTACGTCTGTCTCTGGTTATATAATTATCTTAATTTTTCACATATGCAATAAAAAACGAAGATGTTATCAATTAAAACATTGGCCCAAATATAAAAAGAAAATTAAATATAAACATTCAACTTAGTTTGAAAACACATATAATTATCAATTGAATATTAATTTATTGGATATTGTTATTATTTTAATATTTTAAATTTTATAATTAGAATACACATAAGAGACATCTGATTACCGAAATGTGAAATTATCTATGTGAATAAGATTATAAAAAAAATTAACATTACTTATACATTATTAGAAATGTTACACTGTTTAGAATTTAAAAATATCATATTAAGATTTCTTACATTCACCGAGAAGAAAATGATATTGCTAACACTTTGGCACACATAGGATGGGTCTCATGCTGCTACCAGACCAGCTTGATGGCATTCGAACCACTCTCAACCTTAATAGGATAGACTGAGAAGCAGACGAACAGCGACGAGGATGGATGGGTGATTGTTCGCAGGCGGTGATGATGGACGAGGGTTGATAACGGGGTTTAAAATTAAGGAGTTTAGGATTTTTATGTGACTTCCAAGTAATTTTGAGTTTATTATATATATATATATATATATATAAAAGTTTTTTTAATAAAACTTTTAAAATTTTATAAATGTGACTTGCATTACCTAACGGATTTTTAGCGGCCGTTATGATATAGGCACATAAAAGAGTAATGTCGGAAATATTAGGCACCTACTTTTAATGAAAAATTCTTTAGACACCTAAAGTTAATTTAGATATAATTTAAACACTTATTTTTGCATTAAGCCTAAATAAAAAATAAAAAGATTAAGAGTCAATTTTCCCCCTGTAGTGGACTCAATTTATCATTTTTGCCCATATCATATTTTAGCACCAATTTATCCCTCAAAGTCGTTTAATTGCATCATTTTATGCCCTAATCTTAAATTGATAACCCTAAATTATAATCTCTTAAATTATAAACCCTAAACCCATTCTCTAACTTAAAAACCTCAATTTAAGGTTTTATGTAACACCCCCAACCCATACCCGACCCGGATACGAGTCCGAGATATCATATTGACATTTCAAAACCTTTATTCTTGTAAAATAACTGAACATTTGAACTTGTATTAATAAAATATGATCATATATTGTTTAATTATGTTTGGTATAAAATTTTGAGATAAAAATATATTTATGAACAATGAAATACGTTATGAACAGTGCTACAGTGCATCGATGCACCAAAATTTCGAAGCAAATTTATGCATCGATGCACTGCTACAGTGATTTTCGTAAAACATACATAAAACTCGTAAAAATTTAACCGTTCATTACTGTACATTTACATTTACATAAATACGTTTAAACATTAGAAAACTCATTCATATGATTTTACAAACCAATTAGAGCATATCGTATTTAATCCTTTATTTACATGCAAACCACTATCCTTATTACAAAATACATACTATACATTTCTTTTCTGGTCTGATCTTTGGAAAAGAGGAACTGACCTGTCTTGCATAACTTTTGCCAATCTTCCTCTTCTCATAACCTACGCGTGAAACAATCACACGCTAAGTCGTTGAGTTAGTGAGGCATATAAAACATAATTATATTCTAAATGTAACTTCTATAATGCATGAACATTGATAATACCTTATCATACCAAAGCATATATTCTTTTCTGTAATATATACATACATGCACATATTATGTAACATAACATCATAACATGCTTATCATTTCTCATTTTATCATCACTAATTTCTTTATATACTATATCAACATATAATGTAACTCTAAATCACACCATTGCATAAATAATTACCAATCTCATATAAACAAATACATTTCACTTAAGAATACACACAATATCACATATGAATCTTGTAAATACTTTTGATGTCTTTTATAGGCCCATGTACATTTATGAGAACTTAAGGTATGTGAGTACTGTGAGGTTATGCACTATACTGTCACCACAGCTTGTATAAATTTACACCGTAGTGCCACGTAGAGTTTGTCCCGAAGGACCACGTAGAAATGCATCGAAGTGCCACGTAGAATTGCACCGTAGTGCTGTCGGAACCGTCTTTCGGTTGGGCCCCGAAATTAGGCTTCGACTTGGATTAAACGAATTGGAGTCGCCACCGACCACTTTAAAACAAATTTAGGTGGGTCGGACACCATCTTACCTGATCTGCGTTTTACCATAAATATGTCGGGTTCGGGAGTTGGTTACGGTTAAGGAAGGATTAGCACCCTTGAACCGCCCTTTCGGTACCAATTAATTTATCGATTGTCTTAATTGCGAAAAATTGAATTTAATTTTTTTTAAATACTCGATTCAAATCATTTACCTTTGATTAGTTAAAATTCTTCTAAAAAAAGGGTCAAGGACGTTAGATAAAAAAAATAAATAAATGGAAAAAACATAAAATAAAAAAAACTTAGAGTATCAAATTGAAACAAATCGGGATTAATGGATTAAATCGGGACTAAAAATAAGCTGCAAGAGAAAAAATAAATAAAGAGTTAGAGGGGTTAAAAATAAAAAATATAAATTATAAATAGACACCAAATTGAATAAATTGAGAATTCAATGGCCAAATTGAGCATAGTGACCAATTCTAGCAAAAGGCATACTAATTCCCCATTCTCTTGTTCAACGCACGTGAATGAACATAATTAAAGCTCTCAAATGATTGTAAGTCTAACAGTTGCCATATTTGGTCGAGTACTCCATAGCTCCGACACCAGGGTCGTAAACCTTTCCTCTGTTTGTTGAAAATCTCTTTGAATGGTCTCAGCAGTCACAACTTCCCCCTATTCAACCACAATTGCTCGAAAATTGTTGAACAAGTGATCGCAAACATAACGTACCGCCTCGGGTCTTCCATGTCAGTCATAGATTCCGACGAAGGTGCCGAATTGGCCCGACTCGATCTGGCTCTGGTCCTTTAGCACCTGGTTCGCTTGGATCACGGCCATGGAAAATTCACCGGACCCATATTACCCTATATCATGAAACCAAAGAAACCCATCTCTAACTTCCGCTGTCGCCGCCTCCGAGAATGTCGTTTGTTTCGTGATTTTCTACTTTATTCCCAAACGG